CTATATATATATATATATATATATATATATATATATATATATATATATATATATATATATATATATATATATATATATATATATATATATATATATATATATATATATATATGTATATAGTTAGTTAGATAGTTAGATATATAGATATATATATATGTAAAAAAATTGCGCGTGTATGATTTGTAAATCTCATATATGTATTAACTTTTTTTTCTATCCGACTTTACAGTACGGTCACTTAACGCCTGAACACTTATTACAAGGTCTGGCTATGGAATCGGGACCGCCTACTGTGGCAGCTGAGTCGATAATTTCAGCTATTGTGGACAAATTAAATAACAACCCCTTTCCGGACCACTCTATTAACACTTTATTAGCCGACTTGTAAGTTGATACCGCTGTCAGAATATGCATGTGCTGGACAGTGTAGATATAAGTCCATGTTGCACAAAAGTGTACATTGCCAACCAAATGTGCTCTTAAAATGTTGTGTAAGCGAAAGGCCCATATAGTGTTCAGTTCGTGTCGTGACTTTGATTACATGCTGATTTTGATGCTTGGTATCAAGAGTGTGCCTGATAGGCGTCGTTATCATTTGTTCGTGGTATTGAGCGTGTTGCTTTTAATGTCGATGCCATTTTGCGTGGCAAGTGACTTTTGTTCGTTTTGTCTGGTATACTTCTTACCGATTTAAGATTGAAATACAAGTGGTGATGAAGTGAGGCATTAAACGTACTGCTGTTTATGACGATGCTTTTTTGTGCAGGATAGTAATAGACTTTTATTCTTTTCGACTGGTGCTAAAGAAAGATTTAATACAAGTGATTATGATTTCTACAAAACACCCACTCATATGTGTATCTCCTACACAGCCCTATGAAGAATGAAGATATCACTGATCCGTCAAAGCGTGTCCAAGCCATTTCCGAGGCATTTAGTAAGATTGAGGAGGATAGTGGCCTCTGCTTAAAAGCTCGTTCTATACTTCCCACTCCGCCGTTGCTGCCGTCATCAGAAAGTGAAATGAGGTTGGTGCGACTTTCTGCTTTTATTCTTGAGTTAATGCACTGCACTTTATTTGAGGAGCGGTACTGTTAATTTTGCGTTCTGTGGAGTACACTTGAAATGTCATTCCATTATTACTCGTTCGGAAATTCGTGGGGCAGCTCCGTTTGCAAAATGAAGCTACAAGACTCCATTCGTTTTGTGAACTAAACTGGTTTCAATCCAACTCTGTTTCCATTCCTTCTTGTATCGATAATAGATGGATGAATCCATCAGGTATACAATACGCTTTTAAATGGGATTCGACGATGTGTATAGACAACTCCCCCGATACTCTTCTGATTATAGCATTTAACGAAGCGCTTAGCCCAACGCAGCAGTCGGTACGCGTGAAGAACTATATTGCGATCTGCATCGGGTGTACAATGTATCAATATACTCAGCATGTATGAGTCACTTTTACTAACAGTGGATGTTTCATTTGATGCGTGTATGAATATTCACTCATGATGATAGTGGGACATACAATCCTGTTGATTAGCTATGCATTCTGCGATTATATGTCCGACTTCGGACCTGTTTAATAGGCATTTTGTTGACTATATTAATGATGAAGTGCTAAATTTTGGTCGTATGCCTTATTAGCTTGATCACAATATCACAAGTTTTGAAATCATGTGCAAACGCGTATTGTAGTATGGGATCATTACGTAACATATAAGAACGTGGTGCTGCTGGCGAACAGCAGCTGGCCTATGTCATTGAAGCACATCCAAGTTTAATACGCGTTATCGCAAATCTATTCCCCAAGGGCAATGGGCACAAATGTATCAATATAAATATGTATTTATCATAATATTCACTTTTCAGACCTTAAGGGATGCGTTCGAGACTGACACCAATCTAGTATTCAGCAATGAAATATCGCCTCAGAAATTGCCAGAGTTGGTGGAAAATAACCCTTTGATCGCCGTAGATGTTCTTCTAAAACTCAGTTCGTCACCAATTATATCGGAGTAGGTCTCATGTGTAGTTTAGTTCATTCAGAGTTCGTCTCAAACTTGATAAGATTTTGAAAATTGTGTTGTTCCTGGTTGCCTTTCTCGCTGCACCTAGCACGTGCTACCTACGTGTTTTAAGTCTTCTCTTGCATTATCCCAGATGTCTTACAGTACTTGACTTCTCTGATACAGATTTCGTGATTATTTAGCCGTACAAGCTGGTTGTTGCCACGTTCTGATTTGAGATGGTGATTTTAAGTTCGAGAGTGCATTTTACTTTTAAGTGGACTCTTCCGCTACGTTGGTTCGCGAAGTATCACTGCGTCATCTAGAAAAAAATCTGTATTATCTTTTCAACGCCTAAATTCTGAGCGCACAATTATAATTTTACGCTCATACAAAGCTTGCTTTTCTGCTGACAGATATCTCGGTGTGTTAGTGAACATGGATATGTCACTGCACTCAATGGAAGTCGTGAACCGCCTGACTACAGCAGTTGATCTGCCAACAGAGTTCATTCATTTATATATTAGTAATTGCATACATCAATGTGAGAATACGGAGGAAGGATTCACGCAACTACGATTGGTCAGGCTGGTATGTGTAGCATATTCAAGTGCTTATGCCTGCTGTTGCTTTACCGTGAGCATTGTGTCTAACTCGAAAATTGTATGCGTATCGCTCATATGCCAACTTTGCGTGGCATCTATCAAAAATTATTTTCAGATTCGAGACCTCATCTAAGATTACACTTTTTGGCCATCACAGGCCAGTGTCTTTTTGCAAGCTTTGCTCCGGAACAAAATAATCAACGTACGGGATATCTACGTTGAGGTGCAAGCTTTTTGTGTAGAATTCAGCACAGTCAGAGAGGCCGCCGGGCTTTTCCGTCTATTAACGGTAATAGCGATACGCTTTCGTGCGCTTTTTCACCGTTTGCATTACAATATCATTTGAAACTTTTATACCATCTTTTTTTTTCCTTCCTTTTAATTTTCAGCACCATGTATTTCACTTGTTCCTGTTGCTTCTTTTCTTTTCTTTCGTAGTTATATTGTCAATGTAAGTGCGTTGCTTGACCAGTATTATGTTCTTTTGGGGGTGGGATTCGCCATGGCATGTGATTGTGCCGAGCAAGATATTGCTGAGATCAAATATTTCAGCTTTTTTGAGATTTCGCTTTCCACTTAAGAGTCGTTTTATTATAGCCAGGCGTTTATATCGCCTTGTACGTTCCTTTGATATCTGCAAGCGAAACGTTGAGAATATTGTTGTATCATTTCTTCAGTCGCTTAAAACTATATTCGAAACTCATTTTATCCCGGCAGTCGCTGAACAAATCGGAAAATTCAGGAGAGCATGACAATGGATCCTATCTCGACGACGATGGCTACTAGTACTATTGCTGTAACGAAGCACACCATTGAAAAATAAAATTTTGTGTTTACGCGTAGTATATCGTTTGCATCGAGTTGCATACTCGGTTTTTATCCAAGCATCTAAGCATAGTCTCTACGTGGTATTGAAGCTAATAGGCCTCTCAATTCATCATTGATTTTGATTGTATCCGAGAAAAATACATCAGTATTGTCGAATTTCAGGGTCGATTAGTTTACGCAGACTATCAACTTAGCCTCGAGTATGCGCCACCGATTTTCGAATACAACTTCTTCCTACTTGGTTATAGAATGACCTGCCTGTTCAACCCAAAGATGAGAGGAAAGTGTTTGCTCAACAGCATTAGTAGTTATTTCCTGGCGCATCGAATTAGCCTATTACGGTTGAAGAGCGGTAGTGCAGCGACTGGTTCTGGGTTTTTGGATGAAAACCGGTCTTCGTGCGCGCGGTTGGATTCTTCTGCATCGTCTATCATGACAGGTGGATCGGGGTAGAATCGGCGGATATTCTGGCAGACACGTGCTCCGTGGTGCCTAGCAGTCGTAGCTGAATGCTCATTGGTTGGTAATTTCGTGGTCAAACAACGGTACATTACATAATCAAC